TTTTAATTTTTTAAGATTTGGGTGGGAAGTTCTTCATTACAGTGCATTTACATACACACACCACGATTAAGTTCTACATTTGTTTATATTTATAGGGTTTGGAGTGGAAACATCCCCCTAATTCATCATTAAAACGCATTGCCATCATCTTTGATATGTTTTCAAAGTTTCAGTACCCCTTCTATCTTAATTATAAGTGGTTTAAACTTGATTTGCAAGATTTTACATTTATTACAATTGCAGATATTAAACAATTTATCAATACTTACTTTAACAATTTTAAAATAGACATACAAATGTATAAACATTCCAAGGGGATAAGTTTAATAACCTGCAACGTAAATACCATTTACTACCGAAAAATACGAAATAAATTATATTTATTAAACAATTTCATCAAACAAAACAAAAATTAATTAATTGGACTTCAAATTGAAAACATTGTAATTTTGTAAATTCTCACTGTCGTCCGTCTGTCTTTCCTTAATCTTAAGAACGAAGTTACACAGATGAAAGTCGAGACCATATATAACTTAAGGAAAGTAAGCCCCGATTAACTATATACGAACTTCCGATATAAACAGAAAGTCACGCTATTTCAATTCAAATGTTTTTTCTGAAAGGACTTAGAGCACGACTGTATTGCTAACAAGATAGCATGATGTATAGGGACATGATACTACTAATTTGAAATGGAGAGCATATATTTTAAATTAAATAAATTAAAAAAGTATATTTTTATTTTTATTTCGTTATCTTCCATATTCTGATATGAAAGTGTAAAACATTTGTTTATTGATAGTCAATATTTTGTGTTGAAAAATAGAACTTTCGTTCGAAGGACAAACAAAAATCATATGTGTTTCAACACTATCGATTCTTGTTAAGAACACAATTTTGATGGAGTTAACTCAAACCGTCAACTAGAATAATAAATTTACTACTTCTATAAAATATAATTCAGTAAATTTTGCTGTAAGAATACAAAACAAAAGTTATAATTATTCGAGAAATTAAATTTTCTCAATTCATTACTGTCAATTTTTGATATTTAAGGAACTGTACATAATTATTTACCGTAAAAATAATAAATAAAATGACTTTAATGTTAAAACTACACTTGTAATTGAAAACAATATGTATATTTTAAAATAGTTTGTTCAAAACTCATCTTCCTTCAAAGATTTAAAAGAAATTAGTAATTTTATCAAATATTATTTAAGCTCTGAATTATATTCATAAGTAATAACTTATTATTGTTTACCAGAAACCTATTATAAACGTTAGTTTCGAAATGTCTGGTTACTAAAATTAAATAATAATACAGCTTCATATATGACATAAAAGTATAAAGCCTTATTTCATAATTTTATTGTATTAAAAATAATTATTATAATAAAAATTTCTATAACTTTACAAGTTGATATTTTATATTTTTTTATTTAATTTTAAATATAATAATTGTATTATTTATTATTGTATTAAAATTTTAATAATTTCAAATAATATAATTATTAATTACATAAGTTGCTGGACTATCCTGACATTCTTTATTTGTTTATTTGCTACCATTACCTTTTTTTTCAGATTGGTTCGGGAGATATTAAGAGGATGGAGTCATATCTCCCGAACCAATGGTCCTATTTTTCTGAAAATTTCTACAAACATTTCCTGTTAACACACGAATCTCCCTGCAAAATTTCAGAAATTTTTAACAAAAAGCACAGGAGCTAAGCTTTAAATTGAATGGAAAAATTCGTCTCTCCTAAAAACAAACTAAAATACAGAAAAAATTCAGATTTTTTTTTTCATTTCTCGACGTTTCAAAACTTCCCGAGTCCTAAAATGTAAAAGTCATTTTTTGGCCGATGGTCATGCGTTCCCTCTGTTATATAACAGCAGAGAATGAAAAATGAATATATATTATTATGATAAGTTTGACTTTAAGTTCAACTCTACAAAAAAATCACATTAGTAGAGAAATACAAGCAAGTGAACAAAATAGAAAAATTCTGATGCAAATATCAACAATATAATTCAATATATTGCTGTCATGTCAATCTGGTTTCGCATCACATACTTTCAATAAAATTTCGGAAATCACATGAATGAATTTTTTCTCCATTTTTCCGAGATAAGAGATGAACCTTTACGAAAAAAATAAGTTCCTTTTTTTCCATCCGTTTATGGAAGAGTTAACTGGTTTCAGTACGTAGCTAAGTCATGAAATATTCATATAAATATTTTACATAAATAAAATAATATGTTTAGTAACAATATGTTTTATTGATAGAAATTATATGTATATAAATATAGCCTATAATAACTTTTTATTTATTTATTTATAAGCTAATATGTGGAACTCGGGGTTTATTTCCTGTGGAGACGAATACTCTATATATAACTGTCATATAAACAATTCTGTAAAAACATTATATATATATATATATAAACTAAACAATAAATTGCACATTTTACTCTCCCTGAAATCAGAAAAATATTTTCCGGAGAATGTTTTCTGAAAGAAACATAGGTGAAGCTAATTTAATTTGAACTAGATTCACATATATAATCGTATATTTTATATGCTATTAATATTAAAATATTGAAAATTAATGTAACAAATACTGTATTTCTAGTAATACCTAAATTTTATTTGAACGTTTACAAATTCCTTCCTCATTTCTCAAGAATCTGATTTGATATTTATTGATTTTCACAGTGCTGCTGATACGAATAAATAAGATTTTTATTAAGTTTAACTACTTTATATGATACATATAAATCTTTAGTTTTCAGCAATTGCTCTTAAAATTTATCAATAATAATTCACAAATATATATTTAATTTCTAGTGTGCTTAGGAAATAAGAATAAAAACATTAATCACGATGAATGACGGTGAAAAGTTATCATCATCAATTTTTAATTAGAAATTTTGTGGAATTTCTTTTATCACAGTTGTTAACTTTCTAGAATGATATATGATATTATGATTGACTTTTAATGTTGGAATAAGAAAACGCAACAAGTGGGCGATCTGCCAAGGAGATGCCTCCTGGAAGGACTTTCTAAAGGAAACTAACTCCTATTTCGATGTTAGGCACGTGAAAATATTCGAAAAAACTACTCTAGCTTGTTGGTAAGGTACGAACCTGCGACCAAACTATCAGTGTTTAGTAGTGTTATGCATCCAACACTAGTAAAATCGAATTTGAACCCGGATCCTCGTAGAAGAAATTCTATATCCTGTAGATTTGGGAATTTTTTAGCATTGTTTTTTATGGAATGAATGATTTTTTATATCTGTTCTTTTCTCTTGTTTATCTGCTATTTTTTCTTGTTTAATTAATACAAATTATTTTTATTATGACTAAGTTATCTTTTTAATTAGACAACTCTTTAGTGCAGAAAATAAGTGTAAACATAAAGTAAACTAAAAACAAATGAACAAATTAATACTTCGAATATATTATTTATAACTGAAATAATTACTTTATATTATAATTTTATAGTCTATCAAGGAAAGAAGTAATTAATAAATAAATATCGAAAATAATAAACAATACCACACAGATACGATAAAAATAACTTTTATGAATAACGATTATTAACAGTTATAACAAATAACAATGCAATTTCACAACTCGTTAGATAAGTTTTAATACATTATATATATATATATTATTTATATATANCACGTAATAAGAGATTAAAACATATAATTTATTCTAATGAACTGAAAATGATATCTATCATTTTTCATTGTGTAATTATTTTAAATATCGAATAATGATAATTAATTAAATAAATTAAAGTAATTTATAAATAATATAAATCATACATTTTAATTTATTATTACGTTAAAACGGTATTAAAATTGAGAGCCTTATGATGATGCAATAAATAATTGCATCATCATAAGGCTCTCAATTTTAGTAGTGTTTGCCCCTGTAAATCATACTTTTCTTGTTAACAGTGGAGTCATGCCAGCCATATATGTAACACCGTTCAGGAGATAATATTTGAATTGAAATAACTTGACATTTTGGTATATTATCTAATAATAGGAAAAAGATGAATTAAAGATGCTTAGATTTATAAAAGTTAAAGTCAATATCACGCTTATTAGCTATATTTTCTACTTATAGTCTATTAACAGAAAATAATATGTACAGTACCTCCCTTGTACAGTATATAATTATCAAATTAATTAAGGATGCCATTTTGCTTGTTTTACTATTGACCAGTAAATTCGCCATATAATATAATTTTTTATACAATGTAATAATTTTAATTTTGTAATTAAAATCAAAATTAATATATTGTATAAAAAACAAAAATATTTACTGCTATTCCACTAAACGCTTTTAATGAAATAGCTCTAAATATTGACAATAGACATTGAATAGACTGATTCTGCCAGTTTCCGGTCAGGGTGCTATAATCCTAGGACCGATTACCATAGAGTCTATGGGTGTCAGCTATCTGGTTCTATGGTTTCCAGCGGATGACGTTAAAAATTTAATGCTTTTTCTACGAAAAATCCTTTTCCAAAACTTCTCGAAAACGGAAGAAGGTAGAATCAAGTAGGTTTTCGCATTAGAATTCTATTTAATTCTTCTATCAATGCACGGTTCGCAATTTTATAAGTCGGATTCGTTAATTTTCTGTAATTTTTTTTTAAATTGCAGAGAATTAACGAATTCGATTTTTAAAATTTTGAACCGTACATTAGCAGAAGAATTAAATAGGATTATAAATTAAAAATCCGATTGGTTCTATTTGCTTTTCTATTTGTTTTTGAGAATTTTTGGAAAATGGTTTTCCCATTGAAAAAGCATTAAAGTTTTAACGCCATCTCCTAGAGATCGCGTGCGTAACTAAAGAACTTACAACCAGTCTTAAATAAACCTAAAATGACCATAGAATTCCATATAGCTTAATATTTTCACGAGTAAAAATAAAAAATAACTATATTTTGAATAAAAAAAACTTTACTTCTTCTTGTCCATATTCAAATCCAAATTCTTTCCTGGCAATTTCCTTCACCTCTCTAGAAAATTCCGCGTATTCTCTAGTCTCAGGTGTTCTTGCTGTAACTGTCAATAATGCCTCGTAAGCTTTTCTAGCTCTTCTATTACGTTCGATAGTATCGTTGAGCCGATACCAAGGTCTTCTATTTTCATTCTTACTAAAAAGAAAAATATAAAGGTTTATATTAAACAAAGTAATATTTTTACGTTTAAAATTACAGCAGTCTGCACCATTCAAATTTGAATTTATCGCAAGTTTTTTAAACTATATTGATACAAAAAGGTTAATTAAATTCTTTAAACATATAATTATTGGTTTTAACATAGTTTTACAGTTAAACTTCGATATACGCGTTTAATTGGCTCCTCAAGTGTACTGCACATATCGACGAGAAATAAATTAATTTACGAATTAGGTCATTGAGAAATCGTAATTTTTAAATGTACAATAGAGCCTCGATTATCCGACTCAATTGGGGACTGGGGTTGGTCGGATAATTGAAAAGTCGGATAACCGAAAATTATGAAAAAATCCATTATTAGTGTAGTATATTATTATATCCCATGCAATTAGTATATTAGTATATCGCTATTTACCTACTTCGCGTTGAATTTTCATTGATGTTAAGCCTAACAAAAATTTTTCTTAAATAATAATCGTCGCTATTGTATCGTTAAAAATTATAAAATTAAGCCTCGTTTAAATACTGGCTCCCTTTCATGGTCGAGCCAGTGCCAGCTAAAACACGTAAAAATAATATTAAAGTAGCCAAGACATAGCCAAATATTGTAGCGCCACATCACTAGCGGACATTTGAATTTTCCGACTAGGGCGGTCGGTTAATCGGGGGTCGGATAATCGAGGCTCTACTGTACATTTTCTTAGTGGAATAAAAACGTAAGAAAATAAAGAAATTTAAAAAGGTTTGTTGAAGAATTATTAATTAATTAACTATTTTGGATAAAGTACAGTGTAGTTTCACACAATAATTAAAACAAATCATGGAAAATAATAATAAAGATTGATTATAGATAATTTAAATTAACCAGTGAAGTATCACCCAGAAAAACATGAAGTAAAATATTTATTAAACGTCTGCTTTCATTTTTTCTTCCTAGAAACTTCGATAAAATTAAAGAATTAAAACAGGAATTACAGTAAATGCGAAAATAAAAACGTAACCATCCGAAAACTAAAGTTTTCCTACTAACAGTAAGCAGAATTTGGGAGAAGGGATGGATTTAATGTCGCTAGTACTGATTCTGTCGAGTTAGCAACGTTGAACTTCCTATGAAAACAGATCCGCATTAATCGACATCGCATGTATCGAAGGTAACCTACATTGCAGAAATCATCCCAATAATCCTACGAATACTTCAATAGAAATTTTAAATTAACTTTTGACTTTACTTTCTTACAATTTGTAAAGTAATAAAATCTATAATTTCCTTTTTATTCTATTAGTTTTTATACAGATATTAAATTTTTAAAAAATTATATAATATAGAGTGGAACGATAAATAGTAGTTTTTTGAACGAAAATTCTATAAAATGAAGAAAATTTAGTTATAATATTAATTGAACAATTAATTTAAAAAATTATATTCACATTTCATGGAAATTCTATTCTGTAAAAATAATTAAATTATTATTTCTATAATCAAATTATACTTCTGAAGCAACTTATAAGGTAAGAATGTAACAAAATTAAATTCAAAATAATTAAGTATTTTTTTGCATGTGCTAGATTAATAGCTGATAATTTTAATTTTTTAAGATTTGGGTGGGAAGTTCTTCATTACAGTGCATTTACATACACACACCACGATTAAGTTCTACATTTGTTTATATTTATAGGGTTTGGAGTGGAAACATCCCCCTAATTCATCATTAAAACGTATTGCCATCATCTTTGATATGTTTTCAAAGTTTCAGTACCCCTTCTATCTTAATTATAAGTGGTTTAAACTTGATTTGCAAGATTTTACATTTATTACAATTGCAGATATTAAACAATTTATCAATACTTACTTTAACAATTTTAAAATAGACATACAAATGTATAAACATTCCAAGGGGATAAGTTTAATAACCTGCAACGTAAATACCATTTACTACCGAAAAATACGAAATAAATTATATTTATTAAACAATTTCATCAAACAAAACAAAAATTAATTAATTGGACTTCAAATTGAAAACATTGTAATTTTGTAAATTCTCACTGTCGTCCGTCTGTCTTTCCTTAATCTTAAGAACGAAGTTACACAGATGAAAGTCGAGACCATATATAACTTAAGGAAAGTAAGCCCCGATTAACTATATACGAACTTCCGATATAAACAGAAAGTCACGCTATTTCAATTCAAATGTTTTTTCTGAAAGGACTTAGAGCACGACTGTATTGTTAACAAGATAGCATGATGTATAGGGACATGATACTACTAATTTGAAATGGAGAGCATATATTTTAAATTAAATAAATTAAAAAAGTATATTTTTATTTTTATTTCGTTATCTTCCATATTCTGATATGAAAGTGTAAAACATTTGTTTATTGATAGTCAATATTTTGTGTTGAAAAATAGAACTTTCGTTCGAAGGACAAACAAAAATCATATGTGTTTCAACACTATCGATTCTTGTTAAGAACACAATTTTGATGGAGTTAACTCAAACCGTCAACTAGAATAATAAATTTACTACTTCTATAAAATATAATTCAGTAAATTTTGCTGTAAGAATACAAAACAAAAGTTATAATTATTCGAGAAATTAAATTTTCTCAATTCATTACTGTCAATTTTTGATATTTAAGGAACTGTACATAATTATTTACCGTAAAAATAATAAATAAAATGACTTTAATGTTAAAACTACACTTGTAATTGAAAACAATATGTATATTTTAAAATAGTTTGTTCAAAACTCATCTTCCTTCAAAGATTTAAAAGAAATTAGTAATTTTATCAAATATTATTTAAGCTCTGAATTATATTCATAAGTAATAACTTATTATTGTTTACCAGAAACCTATTATAAACGTTAGTTTCGAAATGTCTGGTTACTAAAATTAAATAATAATACAGCTTCATATATGACATAAAAGTATAAAGCCTTATTTCATAATTTTATTGTATTAAAAATAATTATTATAATAAAAATTTCTATAACTTTACAAGTTGATATTTTATATTTTTTTATTTAATTTTAAATATAATAATTGTATTATTTATTATTGTATTAAAATTTTAATAATTTCAAATAATATAATTATTAATTACATAAGTTGCTGGACTATCCTGACATTCTTTATTTGTTTATTTGCTACCATTACCTTTTTTTTCAGATTGGTTCGGGAGATATTAAGAGGATGGAGTCATATCTCCCGAACCAATGGTCCTATTTTTCTGAAAATTTCTACAAACATTTCCTGTTAACACACGAATCTCCCTGCAAAATTTCAGAAATTTTTAACAAAAAGCACAGGAGCTAAGCTTTAAATTGAATGGAAAAATTCGTCTCTCCTAAAAACAAACTAAAATACAGAAAAAATTCAGATTTTTTTTTCATTTCTCGACGTTTCAAAACTTCCCGAGTCCTAAAATGTAAAAGTCATTTTTTGGCCGATGGTCATGCGTTCCCTCTGTTATATAACAGCAGAGAATGAAAAATGAATATATATTATTATGATAAGTTTGACTTTAAGTTCAACTCTACAAAAAAATCACATTAGTAGAGAAATACAAGCAAGTGAACAAAATAGAAAAATTCTGATGCAAATATCAACAATATAATTCAATATATTGCTGTCATGTCAATCTGGTTTCGCATCACATACTTTCAATAAAATTTCGGAAATCACATGAATGAATTTTTTCTCCATTTTTCCGAGATAAGAGATGAACCTTTACGAAAAAAATAAGTTCCTTTTTTTCCATCCGTTTATGGAAGAGTTAACTGGTTTCAGTACGTAGCTAAGTCATGAAATATTCATATAAATATTTTACATAAATAAAATAATATGTTTAGTAACAATATGTTTTATTGATAGAAATTATATGTATATAAATATAGCCTATAATAACTTTTTATTTATTTATTTATAAGCTAATATGTGGAACTCGGGGTTTATTTCCTGTGGAGACGAATACTCTATATATAACTGTCATATAAACAATTCTGTAAAAACATTATATATATATATATAAACTAAACAATAAATTGCACATTTTACTCTCCCTGAAATCAGAAAAATATTTTCCGGAGAATGTTTTCTGAAAGAAACATAGGTGAAGCTAATTTAATTTGAACTAGATTCACATATATAATCGTATATTTTATATGCTATTAATATTAAAATATTGAAAATTAATGTAACAAATACTGTATTTCTAGTAATACCTAAATTTTATTTGAACGTTTACAAATTCCTTCCTCATTTCTCAAGAATCTGATTTGATATTTATTGATTTTCACAGTGCTGCTGATACGAATAAATAAGATCTTTATTAAGTTTAACTACTTTATATGATACATATAAATCTTTAGTTTTCAGCAATTGCTCTTAAAATTTATCAATAATAATTCACAAATATATATTTAATTTCTAGTGTGCTTAGGAAATAAGAATAAAAACATTAATCACGATGAATGACGGTGAAAAGTTATCATCATCAATTTTTAATTAGAAATTTTGTGGAATTTCTTTTATCACAGTTGTTAACTTTCTAGAATGATATATGATATTATGATTGACTTTTAATGTTGGAATAAGAAAACGCAACAAGTGGGCGATCTGCCAAGGAGATGCCTCCTGGAAGGACTTTCTAAAGGAAACTAACTCCTATTTCGATGTTAGGCACGTGAAAATATTCGAAAAAACTACTCTAGCTTGTTGGTAAGGTACGAACCTGCGACCAAACTATCAGTGTTTAGTAGTGTTATGCATCCAACACTAGTAAAATCGAATTTGAACCCGGATCCTCGTAGAAGAAATTCTATATCCTGTAGATTTGGGAATTTTTTAGCATTGTTTTTTATGGAATGAATGATTTTTTATATCTGTTCTTTTCTCTTGTTTATCTGCTATTTTTTCTTGTTTAATTAATACAAATTATTTTTATTATGACTAAGTTATCTTTTTAATTAGACAAC